CTGCTGAGAGCACAGGCAAGAAGCTGACCTGCAACTTCATTACCAGGGGACGAGATACCACCTGAAGCTGCTGATCAGTCTTCATGTCACTAAGAGGCAACTAGACATGATGTGATATCTGACATAATGCAATGGAAATTTCTCGATACCGTGTAAGAAACATTCTTGCAAAAATATTCATCCAGAATCTGATCAAGCCTCTAGATCAGGGTTTCTCAACTTGGGCATTACTGACATTTTGAGCTGGATAATTTTCTTTTTATGAGGGCCTGTCCTATGCACTGTAAGATGTTAAGCAGCATCCCTGGCCACTACCCACTGTTAGTAGCCCTCCTGCCAATTGTGACAACACAAAAAGTTCTCTAAATATTACCAAACGAGCCAGGGCCTCACCTCCAGTTTAAAACCATTACTCTAACCAGTGTAACCCCAATAAATTCAATAAAAGGAAAAAACCCACTACTCTAGAACAGACTCCCAATTTATAGGAAATAATAAAGATTCTAGCCCTGGCCAGGCAGCACAGTTGGTTAGAGCATCGTCCTGGTAGGCCAAGGTTTCAGGTTCAATTTCCAGTCAGGTCACACACAAGAAGCAACCAATCAATACATGAATAAGTGGAACAACATGCCCTGGCTGGTGTGGCTCAGTGGATTGAGTGCAGTCCTGTGAACCAAAGGGTCATCAGTTCAATTCCCAGTCAGGGCACATGCCTGGGTTGTGGGCTGGGTCCCTGGTGGGGGGAGTGCAAAAGGCAACCACACAGTGATGTTTCTTTCCCTCTCTTTCTCCTTCCCTTCCCCTCTCTCTAAAAATAAATAAATAAAATCTTTAAAAAATAAGTGAACAACAAATCAATACTTCTCTCTCCCCTCTCTCTCACATCAATAAATTTTAAAAAATAATAAAAATCCCAATAGGCAGCCTTGACTAATGTGGCTCAGTGGATTGAATACAGGCTGTGAACCAAAGGGTCACTCGTTTGATTCCCAGTCAGGGCACATGCCTGAGTTGTGGGCCAGGTCCCCAGTAAGGGGCAAGTGAGAAGCAACCACACATTAATTTTTCTCTCCCTCTCTTTCTCCTTCCCTTCCCCTCTCTCTAAAAATAAAAAAATAAAATCTTTACTAAAAAACAAAGAAACAAACCAGCAGAACTGTGATCCCTGAAAGAAGAGAAACAAATAAACCTTATTATTCCCCAGGCTTTCTACCCAAAGATATGTATAAAGTGCTGAGTAAGAAAGGGCAACCGACTTCCAGCAAGATGGAGGCATAGGTGGACGCTCCGTACCTCCACGCACAACCAAGATTGGAACAACAACAATTTAGAGGCAGAATAACACCCAGAACTGAAAGAAAATTTATGTGAATGGAAGTCAAACAGCCAAGAAGTTGAAATAGACCCATGTATCCAGACCGGTAGGAGGGGCGGAGACAAGCAGCCGGGCGCAGGATGCGGCGCGGAGAATAGGGAGAACTGGGTGCGTAAGGCCACCGGGAGCGCGTAAGGCATCTGGGGCGCACAAGATCGCAGCTGGTGGACCCTGAGTACATAGGCAGCAGCTGGCGGACCCAGTGAGGCAGTGATTGTGGAGCAGGGCAGAGAGCGCATCCAAGGATCCCAGGGAAAAGACTGAGGTCCCACGGAGAACCAAGCTACTGCCAATGTTCCCTCTTGACCCCGCCCTCACAGACAATGTCACAATCTAGCGACTGAGGTGCCCAGCCCTGGTGAACACCTAAGGTTCCGCCCCTCACCGTAAGAGGAGCAACCAGACCAAAAAAAAAAAAAAGAGAGAGAGAGAGAGAGAGACAGATGGCTCAAACAGAAGAACAAATCAGTGCCCCAAAACTCATCCTTTTGAGCCACCAAGAGATAGCTAACCTGTCAGATGCACAGTTCAAAACACTGGTGATTAGGAAGCTCACAGAATTAGTTGACTGTGGTTGCAAATTAGATGAACAAATGCAGGTTACCATAAAAGAAATGAAGGAAAATGCACAGGGGACTAATAGTGATGGGAAGGAAACTGGGACCCAAAACAGTAGAGGGGACCAGAAGGAAGAAAGAAACAACCAAACAGAAAAGAATGGAGAAATAAGAATTCAAAAAAATGAAGAGAAGCTTAGGAACCTCCAGGACATCTTTAAACATTCCAATATCCAAATTCTAGGGGTACCAGAAGGGGAAGAGGTAAAGCAACAGATTGAAAACATATTTGAACAAATAATAAAGGAGAACTTCCCCATTCTGGCAAAGGAAATGGACTTCCAGGAAGTCCAGGAAGCTCAGAGAGTCCCAGAGAAGTTGGACCCAAGAAGAATCACACCAAGGCACATCATAATTACATGAGCCAAGGTAAAAATGAAGGAGAGAATCCTAGAAGCAGCAAGAGATAAGGGGACAGTTACCTACAAAGGAGTTCCCATCAGACTGTCAACTGATTTCTCAAAAGAGACCTTACAGGCAAGAAGGGGCTAGAAAGAAGTATTCAAAGTCATGAAAGACAAGGACCTATATCCCAGACTACTTTATCCAGCAAAGCTTTCATTTAGAATGGAAGGTCAGATAAAGTGCTTCTCAGATAAGGTCAAGTTAAAGGAGTTCATCGTCACCAAGCCCTTATTTTATGAAATCTTAAAGGGACTTATCTAAGAAAAGAAGATTAAAAAAAAACATGTATAGTAAAAGGACAGCAAACACAATTATTAACAACCACACCTAAAGCAAAACCAAAAGAAACTAAGCAAACAACTAGAACAGAAACAGTACCACAGAAATGGAGATCACATGGAGGGTTAGCAACAGGGGAGTGGGAGGAGGAGAGGGGGAAAAGGTGCAGAGAGTAAGTAACATAGATGGTAGGTAGGAAATAGACAGGGGGAGGGTAATAATAGTATGAGAAATGTAGAAGCTGAAGAACTTATAAGTATGACACATGGACATGAACTAAAGGGGGGGAGTGGGTGGGGGAGGGTGTGCAGGGTGGAGGGGAGTGAAGGGGGGAAATGGGACAACTGTAATAGCATAATCAATAAAATATATTTTAAAAAAAGAAAGAGAAAGGGCAACCCTAACAGAGCCCAATGATCTCAAGAGTCAATGAAAAGGAGTTTTGGAGGTTTAAATGTCTAGAAGTTAAAGGACAGAGTACTGGAGAGGAGGGAGCTAAGCAGAGCAAAAATTTCCAGAAATATTCATAGAAGTTGCCCATGAATCTTTGGCCAAATAGCAACTACATGTGATGATATGATCTGATATGTGTAAAAACCTAAAGATTTCACACACACACACACACACACACACACACACCTGTTAGAACTAATAAATGAATTCAATAAAGTAGCAGAATACAAAGTCAAGACGCAAATTTCACTTGCATTTCTCTACACTGCAATGAACAATTTAGAAAGGAAATTAAGAGAAAGCTTCTAAGTACAATAGCATCCAAAAGAATGAAATTCTTAGGAATGAACTAAGAAGATGAAAGACTTGTACATTGAAAACTACAAAACATTGCTGAAAGAAATTAAAGAAGACCTACATAAATGAAAAGCCATTTAGTGTTAATAAACTGAAAGAGTTCATATTGTTAAAATGTCAGTACTGTGCAAAACAATCTACAGCTTTAATGCAATCCCTATCAAATTCTCAGTGATGTATTTGGCAGAAAGTTGAAAAACACATCCTAAAACTCATATGAATCTTAAGGCACTCCAAATAGACAAACCGATCTTTAAAAAGAAGAACAAAACTGGAGGACTCATACCTTCTGATTTAAAAATCCACAGAAATGGCACAGTACAAGCATAAAGACAGTCATGTAGAATAAAGAGTTGCGAAAGAAACCCTTGCTTTTCTGGTTCCGTGATTTTTTGACAAGGGGTCTGAGACAGTGCAATGGGGAAAGGAAAGTCTTCAACAAATGACACGGGGAAAGCTGGATATCCACATGGAAAAGAATGAAGGTGGACCCATAGAAAAGTACACGATGTAGAAAATGAAGGTTTGCCATGTAGAAAAACTAACTCAAAATGGATCCTTGATCTAAATGTTAGACTTAAAACAGTAAAACTCTTAGAGGAAAACATAGGACAGTAAAGTAGAAGAAAAAAATTAATATTCAGAAATTGGTTGCATTTAAAAAAACATTTCATGCGAGAATATATGAGAGAGAGAGAGAGGCATCGATCTGGGATCACACCTGCAACCTAGGTATGTGCCCTGATCAGGGATCAAACCCATAGACTTTTGGTGTAAGGGATGATGCTCTAAACCAACCGAGTCACCTGTCCAGGGCAGAAATTAGATGCATTTTTGTAAGATTTTATTTACTTTTGGAGAAAGGGGAAGGGAGGGAGAAAAAGAGGCAGAGGAATGTCGAGTGTGGGAGAGACATCATTTGGTTGCCTCTCTCTTACATTCACCCCAACCAAGGACCTGGACTGCAACCCAGGCATGTGCCCTGATTGGGGATTAAACCAGCGACCTTTCTCTTTGAGGCACAGTGCCCAACCAACTGAGACACACCCAGTCAGGGCTTCATTGCTTTATTTATTTATTTATTTATTTATTCATTCATTTATTTTTAGAGGGAGAGGAAGGGAAGGAGAAAGAGAGGGGGTGAAACATCAGTGTGTGGTTGCCCCTCATACACCTCTACCAGGGACTGGCCTGCAACCCAGGCATGTGCCCTGACTGGGAATTGAACCAGCAGTGCTTTGGTTCACAGGCCTGTGCTCAATCCACTAAGCTACACTTGGCTCTTTGTTGCAGTTTTATATACTATTAATGAACTATCAGAAAGAAAAGTTTAAAAAAGAATCCTATTTATGATTGCATCAAAAATAATAAAATACCTAGGAATAAATTTAACCAAGGAAGTAAGAGATCTGTATTCAGAAAACTACAAGACATTGAAGAAGATACAAACAAATGGAAAGCTATATTGTGCTCATGGATAGGAAGAATTAACATAATTAAATTGGCCTATTACCGTGCTTGCTTTGGCAGCACATATACTAAAGTTGGAACGATACAGAGAAGATTAGCATGGCCCCTGTGCAAGGATGACATGCAAATTCATGAAGCATTCCATGTTTTTGGGAGGTAAATGCAGACAACTGTAATTGAACAATAATAAAATAACTTTTAAACATTTTTTAAAAATGGACTATTACCCAAAGCAATCTATAGATTCAATGCAATCCTTCCTTATCAAAATACCAATGGCATTTTTCACTAACTAGAACATATACACCTAAAATTTGTATGGAACCACAAAAGACCCTGAATAGACAAAGCAATTTTGAGAAAGAACAAAATTGGAGGTCTCACGCTACCTGATATCAAACTACATTACAAGGCTATAGTAATCAAAACAGCATGGCACTGGCATAAAAATAGACAATGCCACAATATAGAGAGCCCAGAAATAAACCCACAGATATATGGTCAATTAATCTATGATAGAAGAGGCAAGAATATACAATGTGGCAAAGGCAGTCTCTTCAATAATTGGTGTTGGGAAAACTGAACAGATATGTGCAAAAGAATAAAACTGGATCATTTTCTTATATCCTATACAAGAATAAATCCAAAATGGTTTAAAGACTTAGATAGAAGACCCCAAACCACAAAACTCCTAGAAGAAAACATAGGCAGTAAACTCTCTGACATCATCCTCAGTAACATTGTTTTTGAAACATATAACTTTAATAATATTTTTAATATTAATGCTTAAGAGTAAGAGCCATCTACAAAATCAAGCGCGGTTGCAGAATAAACTGGACCAGTAACTTGTATGAATTAAGCATAGAGTTAAATTCTTCCGATGGCTAAATTAGGAAAGAGCGGGAAGGAAGGAGACAATTTTAGGAGGAGTGTCTACCGTGGATTTGTACGGGTATATGCCAGGTCCTGTTGCCTAGTTACTGGCTGACATCCTTGGGAATCAAATTAGAACACCCCGTGGAGGTCACAGTGGGCACATGGCATGTTCACTGGTCCTCTCTCTCCCAAAACCTGGAGTTGGTATTCATGGCTGGTTTGTTACACTAGCAAACATTCTAGGTCTCTTCAGCACCCAGCTTGTGGTTGGAGCACTAGGAACAGGTGTGAGATGATGGTGGCATGGCATGCTTGGACCAGACTGGCAGGGCCTTACATTTCTTTCTTTCTTGTTTATACTACTAATGATATTCTCATCATAAGAGTGAAACCTGACCTGGCTGGTGTGGCTCAGTAGATTGAGTGCTGGCCTAGGAACCAAGGGTCACTGGTTCAATTTCCAGTCAGGGCACATACCTGGATTGCAGTCCAGGTCCCCGGGGGCATGTGAGAAGCAACCACACATGGATGTTTCTCTCCCTCTCTTTCTCCCTCTGTTCCCCTCAATCTAAATAAATACATAAATACATAAATAAATAAATAACTGGCTTCATCAAAATAAGAAACTTAAAAAAAAAGTGAAACCTACATCAAAGTATCACTGAGCACAACCGAAATGCCCATATACCCACTACCCACCCACTATGGGAACCGCCACCCACGGTTTGGGCATTTCTCTTTCTTCCTTATTCCAGTTCCTGGCTGACATTCAAGTCTTAAATCAGGAAGAGAAATCCCAAAGCACAAATCCCGTGGCGGTTCTTCATGTCTCCCAGTACCCATGTTTTATTGCCAGAGCACCTTGAATGTGGGCTGTGACCGCCCATTGGCCGTCTGTTGGTTTGTAGATTGTAAGCGACCGCTGGCCAAGGCTGGGTTTCACTGCGTTGTGTTGTGCTGGTGCGCTCCTCTGGAGCGCTGCGCCAACACAACGCAGCGCTCCAGAGGAGGAGGCAGTTGGACACTGTTACTGAGGGCCCTCGATGGAGGAGGGCAGGCTGCCTGGATAAACTGTCTGCCTTTCTTAGGCCGGTTCGTGCTTAAGGGACATTTAAGGGCCCGGCCTCTGAGCTGTGATCCAGTCAGGTCCTACACACTCCAGCCGCCTGAACTGAAGCCCCCTCGAATGAAGAGAAATGCATAAGTAATGCACTGAAGCAAAGGGGCCTGGCCTTTCAGGGAGGATGCGATGGGGCCACGGGACCGTCACCTCTCCGAGCCTCATTTTCCTGCTGTTACAACGGAGGAAAAGCTCCTAATAATGGAATTCATAAAATCTGCTCAGTTTAGGTGGAGAAACTGCAGAATAGATCAGGGGCAAGGTTGCAAAGGAACCACCCGCTGCATGCTCCCGAGGCCCGGGCTGCCCACCCGCAGTAGCCCTGTTGCTATGACCATTTGTCCAGTCTGTTTCGCCTCTAGACCCGGCCGGAGCTGTGCGGTGTCCTGCTGTCCTGGAAACGAGCGCGGGTGGCAGGGAGCAGAGGTGGCCTTGTCTCTGGGCCCCTGCGGCTGCGCAGCCCTCCTGCGGCCGCCGGGAGGCGGCCTCCGGCCATCCTGCGGGCCCCCTCCCTCGGCGGGTGACATCACCGCATTCCTGTCCCGGCTCCTCCCGCCCGCACCCCGGTGACAGGCGAGCCGGGCCGGTAGTAGGGAGGAAGTGAGGGCCCGCTGCACCGAGCCCGTTCCTGCCGAGGTCGGCTCCCTGGGCTCTCGGGTGACAGTGCCGCGGCCGCCGGGCGCAGCGCCGGGCACGCGCCGCGCAGAGCCGAGCGCCAGACGGACGCCCCAGCAGAGACGCGGGGAAAATGGCTGATGACTTTGGCTTCTTCTCGTCGTCGGAGAGCGGGGCCCCCGAGACAGCCGAGGAGGACCCGGCGGCTGCTTTCCTGGCCCAGCAGGAGAGTGAGATCGCGGGCATAGAGAATGACGAGGGCTTCGGGGCACCTGCCCTCGGGCAGCCAGGACCGGCGAGCGGGGGTGAGTCAGCAGGGTGGCCTGGGCACTGGGGGGCCCGGGGCTCGCACGGGGTACAGAGCCGGCGCACACTGGGCCTCCAAGCCTGTGGCAAAGTGCAAAGGGCCTGCTCTCTACCAGCCAGGAGCAGGCCTCGGGCTCGTGTGTGTGTGTGTGTGTGTGTGTGTGTGTGTTCGTTCGTGTTCACGTTCCTGAGGAGGACCCGGGCAATGGGGAGGAACCTTGGAGATCCCCACTGGAGTACCCACCTGAGCCTGTGGATCTGGTACTCCTAGGACAAGAATTCGTGGTGACATTTCATCCCCAGGCCAGCTCCACCACTGTCTGGCTCTGGAATCTAGCTCAGCCCAGCCCTGGAGGGGTCACCTGAGCTTCCCCCCAGCCTGTCTGCCTTGGGCTCCCAGCTGAGCCGGGAAGGTGTGGGCACTACAGCAGATCTCTCTGCCCCTAAGACGTAGCCTCCTCCTACAGCGGGGAGAGCAGGGGGGCACTGGGTGCTCCAAGAACTCACCAACTTTCCCTTGGGACCACCTGCCGCCCTGCAGTCACGGGGCTAGGCACTTTACATACATTTAATCATTTTATACACAGTGCTAAACCCGTTTCAGAGATGGCAAAATCGAAGCTCAAAAAGTACAGTGCTAAAACAGCTAGCAAGTGGCAGAGCAACACTCGAACCCTGTTTCTGTCAGGCTCTGAGACCTCTCCAGCTGACCACGCCATCTTCCACACACCCAGCTCTGACTCGGACACACCAGGGCACCGCGGGCTTTGGGTCGCGTGGGGCCCGGCCCTCTGGCCTCTCCTAGAGGTGGTCCGGGCTGCTGTGGTGGGCTTCAGACGCAGGGCTCAGGGGCCTGAGCCTTGTGACAATGTTCCTGTTGTGGTTCTGGCTTGAAAGGAACAAAAGAACAATTTCTTAAAATGTTTAGTAAACAAGTAGGTGTCACCTTCATGGGTGCATCCAAAACAGCTGTTGCTTCCTATTAGTGCTGTCGTTTTGGTGGGGGGTTATGGACCTGTTGGAATAAGTGGTAGCTTCCATTTTTTAAAAAAAAATTTACAAGTAAGGCATCATATAGTCATGTTTGTATTCATTCAACATTTACTGAGCGTCTGCCAGGTGCCAGGCCCGCTGGGGACACGGACGTGACTAAGACAGTTCCTGTGGCTTGAGGAGCTTGCAGCTTCTGTGTAGCCCCTCGCTGTGAGAGATGAAACAGGCCTTTTGTACCATGTGAGAAGCTGGAGGCCCAGAGGGCTTGACTGTCTTGCCCAAAGTCACACAGCGGTGAGCGACAGATCTGGGACTTGATCCAGCCCCAGGCCTCGCAAGTCTGGGCTCCATGCTCTTTCTAACGCTTCGGCAGTCACCCTGGGAGGCGATGGGTTGTCAGGTGAGGAGGGGAGTGGGGCTTCTGTTCCCACCAGCTTTGGACGTCTTCCGAAGCAGCAGCTCCTCCCGAACCCTCACACCTCTCAGGGAATTCCTGGGAAGTGCTTGTCAGCATTCACACACCAGTATTCATCTGTCCACACCTCCTGCTTGAGACCATCAGCCTCCCCAGTCTGGCTTGGCTTCAGGGATCCCCTGCTGAAAAGAGCCCAAGTGAGAACCCTCTGAGGGAGTAGAATTAGGTGCAGGGTAGTCAGAGGCCCCTGGGAGCTGAGCAGGTCCTGGCCTCTCCCAGGATGGCCTGGGTAGGCGGCGCCCTCTCTGGCAGGGGTGGGGCATGGATTGACCTTGTGCCTGAAGTGTCAGGGAGAGAAGCAGGGACAGGGCCCTCTGAGGGTCTCCCGGACTCACGCCCACCAAAATGGCAAAAGCTCAGCTGCCTCCTGAATGAGGGATCCGGGAGGTATCGTGGGTTGGCGGCTCAGTGGGCGGCCAGGCAGGATGGACTTCATCTGCCCTCCACAGCCCAGGTGGTGCTGAGCAGGTAATATCTCCTGACGAGCGCCGAGTGCCAGGAGCCAAGACAGATGGGGAACTGTGCTTTGGCCTGCTGGGGGCTGTGCAGATGCTGGCTCCTGCCACCGCTGCCAGTCAGCACCTCTGAGATGACGCCCCTGTGCTGAGTGGAGGGAGAGGTGTCATGTGCAGGCCTGCGCCTGAGCCACACTGTGTCTCCTCTGGGGCTGGGGCTGGGGCCAGCCTGGGCAATGGACACTTTGTTTCCACTCATCCTCCTGGGTGGGGCCCAGAAGGTTTACTTTTTCACACCCAGATTGCTGAGCGTGACCACGCCCAGCTCTGCCCCTGGCTTGCCTAGTCAGTTCCTGGCAAGCCTGTTTCCCCTAGTGGGCCTCACTAAGCTCCCAGGAATGTTCTGGACCCTGTTTGCCCTCATCCCAAAGGGGGTCAGGGACCTGAGTGGAACAGCACCCACAGGCACCTGTGTCTGCTGTGTTCCTGTCCTGTGGGCCTCTGACCAGTGCGAGTGATTATAAATGTGCCACAGACGAATCAGAAAGCACTGTGGGAAGAGATGCTCATCCTTCTGTGTGTGGGTGTGTGTGAGTTCCCAGGAACTCTGTGTCCAGAGGAGCGCTGGAGACTGGTAATGGCACTGGGAGACCAATGCTGAGGTCCTCTCTGAAGGCCGGGGTGGGCCCCAGGCCCGTGGACCAGGGGCCTGAGCCTGGGACTGGCCAGAGTGGAGGAGGGCGGTGCAACTTCCGCTCCAGAGAGGCCAAATGCACAGACCAGTGTCCTGGATGGACCCTGGTAGAGGAGAGGCCCTGGGGGAAGATGCTGCCGCTCGGGCAGGAGGAGCCCTGTCTGAGTGCGTAGGGGTGACGGCCGACACGGTTGGTCAGACTCAGTCGCTGTGGGACTCTGAAAACAGAGTCAATTGTCATTTACAGCAACTGGGATTGTTCCAGGGGCTGAGCGCCCCTCCCTGCAGTCCCCACGCTGAACACGCCATGCCGTTGTTGCTGCCCGCAGCTCCATCTGGCTGGTAAAGGGATACATGTCCATCTGCAGGCATCTCGTGTGGCCTCCTGTGGCTTTTTGCTGGGAGGCCCTGCAGGTTCTGAGAGGCCCAGACAGCCTTGTAGATAACAGCGGGCCCCCAAAGAGCAACTCTCTATTTCCATTTAGCCAGCACTTACTGTTCGCGCATTCTGCACAGGAGCCTTTGGGAGCTGAGTGGGACACCAAACCTGATAAAGGAGTGCATGACCCTTGGGAGGCCAGGAGTAATTGCAAAGAGGGTGGGGGATGCTGTAAAGTATTCTAGGAAACCCCAGGGGTGAGACCTTCCATCAGAATCAAGGGAAGCAGGAACAGGAGTGGTGGGCTTGTCAGAGGAGATGGCTACAAGCGTTCTTTAGAGAGAGAAGGGGGGAGAAAGGCATGGGGTACAGGGTGGTGTGTTTGGGGAAGGAGGAAACAAGAATAGGGTTTGTGGGAGGAACTGGTGGGCAGTGAGGCAGCGGAAATGGACAGGGCCCCACTGGAAAGATCCTCAGGTGCTCTGGTCTGAGGGTTGAGCTACTCATCTGACAGACATTTACTGAGTTCCTGTTATGTGCCAGCCCCAGCAGTGGATGAAACAAAGTCCCTGCCCTCATGGAGGGTCCATCAAGGGGGGAAGACAGACAGTAAGCACACACGCATATCTAGCTGTGGTAAGTGCTATAGAGCAAATACCACCAGGGTGGTGGGGTGCCTGAGGGATGGACATGTGTGTGCACGGGGGTGGGGAAGGCCAGTAACGAGGCCCCCCAGGGCTGAAGGGAGTCAGGGCTGAAGCTACCTAGGGAGGTGGGTAGGGAGGCCTTGCAGGCAGAGGGAGCAGCTTCTGCCGCATCCCAGAGGCAGGGCGGCCAGTGCACCACCGTGGCCCATGGGAAGTGGGTTTCCTCTGGGTTTGTTTTTATTATATTTTATTTTACATCAGAGGAGTGACATAGGTAAGCGTATACTTTACGGGCACACTTTATGGGTGAGAGCCAGGGCTGCAGCAGGGCAGGGGACAAGTGGGAGCCCTGGCATCGTTCTGAAGGGGGGTTGGCACAGGGCAAAGCTGGAGTCAGGGGGGCCTGCAAGTGAGCAAAAGCCAGTCATTCACTCTTTCTTTCTTCAGTGCATTTATTCATTTGTTTATTCAGCAAATGGCTTCTGACTCTTACTACATCCCAGGTACCCTGCAGGGCTCTGGGAAGGATGGCAGTGAGGAGAAGGGATGCAGATGGGCCCCCTCCAGGTGTTTGCCACCAGCAGGGCGAGAGTGAGGCTGGGGCCCCGCAGGGCGCAAGGAGCGGCCTGAAGGAGGGTAACTTTGAGGGTCACTGTTGCCGCAGAAGCCACAGGAATTTGTGACTAATCAGATGTCAGGGAAAGGGGCCAGGAGGAGCCACAGTCAGGGCCAAATGAAGTCCTGAGAGAGGCAGGAGGAGGAAAAACAGCGCAGGTGCTTCTTGGTGGGGGCTGCAGTTCCTGCTCTTGCAGGTGCAGCTGTCGCTCCAGGTGCAGCAGGGATAGGTGGGGACTCGCAGGGCCCTCCTCCTCGGCCCTTGCAGACCCTGCCCTGAGCCTGCAGCGCCTCTGCCTGCACCCCACTCCCCGGGAGGGCACAGGCTCCCCAACAGTTGACTGACTTCAGGGAGGAGAGGAGTGCTCATGAACTGGATGGCCATGGGCAACCACATCGCCTCTCGGGGTCTCAGTCTGGCAATCTCTACAATGAGTTGGTAACAACTGCATCACAGTCACAAGGCCGTGGTGAAAATCACATGTGCTAGAGGCTGGGAGAAGGCGTGATGAACAAAGTGTTGAGCCCGAGTGCCTGTCATGTCTGGGTGAGGACATGCACAGGGGTTGGCTCAGGCGCTGCTGTGGGGCCTGCTGTGGGCTGAGCAGTGAGTGATGCTGTCTCCTTGTTCTCTCTCCAGCTGCTTCTGAGGACATGGGGACTACAATCAATGGAGATGTGTTTCAGGTAAGCAAGACTCTGCCCTCTCGGCAGCAGGGACCAACAGCCTGGGTCTCAGGACCCTCTGACCCTGCTGTCAGAGGGACTGCAGCTTCCGGCCTCCTGTTCACTCCAGTCTGATGCACTGGGCAGAACACAGAGGTTTGACCTGTTTTCTTGTCCTGCAAGACAAGGGGATGAGGGAAAAAGACCAGGAGAGGCAGGGATTGGTGGGTGTGGCCTCAGTCTGCCCTTGGTGATGTCCTGCTTCCAGAGAGAGGGATGGAGTGGCCCGCAGTGGCATGGATGGAAGCATGGGGTCCTGCCCCCGAGGGCCTCCCAGGCCGACCTGAGTGGCCATCTCTAACTGGGCAGGCCTTTGACCCAGAGGCTGCACATCTCAGAACTGGCCCTCAGGAAAGAACTGGACAAGGGCACCCGGACTGTTTGCAGGATGATGTGTATACAGTAGCTGGCAAGTGGAAACAGCACAAGTGTCCAGCACGGGGGCCTGGGCAGGCAAGCTGGAAACGCACACCGCTGCTAAAAGAGCAGTCGGAGCTTTCTGAGCTGGCACAAGAAGATGCCTGCCATACAGTAAGTGAAGACGCAGCTTGCAGAATAATATGCACCGTATGGTCCCGCCTTTTTTTTTTAGAAATATGTTTGTGCAAAATATCGGAAAGGATGTGTACCAACTGTTAACAGTGGTTAGCCCTGAGGTGAGGAATGCGGAGGGATACAGGAGGGCTTTCACTGTCATTGTGTAAAAATCCCTGTAGTGGTCCTGTATTGCACACACACCCCAAAACACTGAATGCGGGCTTTTCTGGTTGAGGACTGCCTCTGTCTCTGCCCGCCCAACCCTCCTCCCCTCATACATATGGAAATTTTAAAAGTACTTAGACTGATGAATAATTATGCCGTACACTTGGAACTCACGTAGTATTGTAGGTGAACTATACTTTCATTAAAAAACATATTTAGCCCTGGCTGGTGTGGCTCAGTGGATTGAGTGCTGGCCCGCAAACCAAAAGGTTGCAGGCTTGATCCCCAGTCAGGGCACATGCCTGGGTCCCCAGTTGTGGGTGTGTGAGAGGCAACCAATTGATGTTTCTCTCCTCTCCCTCCCTTCCCTTCTCTCTAAAAATAAATAAATAATCTTTTTTAAAAAGTATTTAGGCTTAGAGAACTTGGTCCACAAATGGTGTCCCCAGGACCCCGCAGATGCCACAGTCCTCACCCCTCACCCCCACCTTTGCCTGGGTGGGGTGGAGCCTTCAGTGGCTGAGCTGTAGTTCCTGCCAGACTGGGTATAAGACACCTGCCCGCTTGGCTGCAGCTCGGGGCTCTGCCGGGCCCCGCCCTGTCCCCCGGCCGCCAGCCCTGTTGCCCTGTTGCCCTGTGGAGGAGCTGGCCTCCTGAATCCTCGGGCAGAATAAACAATACATTCTTATGTAAGCGGGATGGGCTGGTACCTTACACAAGGAAACTGGCCAAGTCCTGTTTCTGGAAAATTACTCAACTATGTGCGAGCTAGAAGAGTCCGTCTCTGGGGCCTTAGGACTTCGAGTGTGTGTGGGCCCGAGAGCCCCAAATACTCAGTGTGCCTCCTGTTCAGTTTGGTAGACCATTGAGGCCCAGGCCGCCCCCACCCCGGGCACACTCAGAAGAAATCTGCTTGGCCCAGAGGTCTGGGTCCTAAAGTGGGCCTGGAGCTGGAGATGCCCTTAGAAACGCTGAAGAGACTGGCATTTTCCCTTTCTGTATTAGGATCTGAGCCTGCTCCCTCCATGCCCTCCAGCCTTGCTTGGTGTGCGGTGGGTCTGAGGAAGCTGGGCTTCCTCCCCAGTCTCAGAGGGAGTGCTCATTCTCATTCTCACTGGTCCCAGTGATAACCCCAGGTATGTGTCTTTGTAAATTGTTTCACATCTGTGACACCCTTGAAGCCTTACAGGCAAGAAGGGTCACAGATGAGGCCTGTCACCCAGAAATCCAGGTCCACCAGGCCTCCTGGCCCTGCCCTGGTGCCCTTTGCACTGCATCACGTCCTTATAGGTGGACCGTGCAGGCGGGTGGCCCGTGGAAGGCCGGGGATTGAACATAGAGCAGGGTCTGGCTTGTGCTGCAGGGGAGGGAGGTGGAGCCTTGCATACCCAACACTTTCGAGGGACCCAGGCAGAGCTTTCTTGCTACTTTTGTTGTTGGTGGTGGTGGCAGCCTGTGGGCCACTAGGGGGTCCAACTAGGAACCTGAGGACAGCAAGGCCTGAGGACAAGCCTGCTCACTCCTATTCTAGTTCCATCTGGCACTGCGGGCACTGGAATAGGAGTTCCCTCCTCCTGCGCAAACTTTCCTTGCCCCCACTCACTCTGCCCCTCACCCGACTTTGAGCTACTTAGAGGAATCAGCAGCTCAGCTCTGCTTGGCTTTAGCTGCTCAGTCCCAAAGACGGATATACCCCACCCTCCCGTCTCTGTGGCTCTGGAGTCACAGCATGGTGTGGCCCATGGAGATGCTCACGTGGGGCCCAGCAGTGGGGGGCCAAAGGAGAGGGGTGTCTCTGGGCCTGCCATTCCCGGCCCCTCCCCTCTCTAGCTCAGAGCGTTTCTGCAACTGCCGGTGGGCCCTCCCAGGCTTCCAGCCCTCTGGGCAGCTGACCTGCTTTCCTCACTGGGTCGTTCTGGGGTTCAAGAGCAGCCCTGCTGTCCTCCCCTGGCTCCGCCCACACTACTCACTAGCAAAGGCGGGTCCAGAGAGCTGCCAGAGAAGAGGGATGGGCAAACCACTCCTGGGGACTTCGTCTGTGAGCAGCCCTCCTGGTCACAGTGTGGCCTGGCTCGGTGCTCCTGGGCTGCCTGCTGGCCTTCTCACGTGCATACCGTGTACATGGGTGGCATTTGTTACACATGGTCCCCACTTCGCATCCTGAGTGGGATGTTGCTCCTCCCATTTGACAGGTGATGAAGCACAAGAAGGCCAGGAAAAGGTCTCTGAAAGGCCCCACATCCAGTGAGTGGCAGAAGGGACATGAAGCCCAGTCCCTCTGATTCTGTGTCCAGGCTGTTCCCACACCTTCCACTTCGCTCTGCCGGTGACCACTCGCTCCTTCCTTGAGTGAACTCACGGTCCCTGAGTGCCAAGTGCCGCGAGCTGTGCTAAGGCGGTGGGCGTAGACAGAGGCAACCCCAGGCTCCGTTTGTCCTCAGAGAGCTTGCTGTTGGGGAGAAGAGTGGGTGGAGCAGGACAGCGAGGCCTGCGGAGTCTGCGGAGCCCACTCGGGTTCTTACTGTGTGTCAGGCACTGCCCAGGAGCTTTAAGTGACCTAACTCATTTCGTCCTCCCAAACCCCTGTGATGTAGGTCTGTCATCATCCCCACTTTACAGGTGAGGAGGGGGACTCATCTGGAATTCAAGATCGCTCTGGTGACACAGCGGGGACTTGAACCAGGCTCAGGCCCCAGGTGCTGCCCTGAAGTCAGGAGGGCCCCCAGGAGGGGGTGCTGAAAGTGGGGTGGAGGCTGCCCGAGGGGGTGTGGGTGGCCCTGGCTGAGGGGACAGCATGTGACAAGGCATGGAGGGTATGACTCTGTCCAGGGCTTCCTGGAGTTGGGGCCGCTGCAGAGAGAGGGGGAGCGCTGGGGAGCCTGCGGAGGCTGGAGGCGGTAGGTCTGTGCTGCAGACCCAGCTGCCAGCCAGAGCACGCGGTGGGCTGCACCTCTGTGGGGGTTAGCGGAGGGGGGGGGGCAGGCCCAGCCTGGCCAGGGCCTGGGGCCTGGGGCACAGCCACCTCGGGGCGGTGTGTTGGCACTGTGCCCCTGCATGTGCAGCTGCTGCATGGGCTGAGAGAAGTACCAGGGGGCCCCAATGCTCCTCAATGCTGCTCCCCAACCCAGGCTGGGGCAGGCTGCAGGGAAAGAATCTGAATGGAGTCAGACAGCCTGGGCTTCATTTCTGGCTTTTCTCAGCCAGATGACCTTGGACTAGTCATTGCTCAAGCCACATCTCAGGTCTGTGGAGAAAATCCGCAGCCCAGGAAGCTTCCTATCAATCCTGACCTAGCCACTGAGCAAGCCCAGGGGGTGCGTGTGTGAGAGAGAGATGGGGAGGGAGAGGGACCGAGGGGTGCAGGCTCTGAGCCTGGGAAGATACATTTATCTGGGAGACGGAATGTAGGTGCACAAACTGTGTGACACAGAAGTGACTTTGGTCCCTTTGGGCTACTCTGTGGCTACTATGTCCACACCCAGGAATCAGTGTGAGTCCTGGCTCTGCTGGGTGACCTTGGGACTTTGGCGCTAGTTAGACTTTCCCTACCTATAAAACAAAGGCCATAAAGCCGCCCTGCACAGTGGCGCGGATCAAAGAGAACCATTCGATTGCAAGTGTCCTGCCAGTTCTAAAGCTCTGTAACCTGGGAGTGTTTATTTTAGTATAAGCTTTGAGAGATGATGGGCCCTAAGGGACAAGGAGGATGAGCCTCCTGCCCAGGGGACCCTGGCAGCCCCTCTCCCACCCCATGTCCTCCATACCTGGTGGCATCTCCGTGCTCAGAGCTTCCCAAAGGCACCCACCCCACATGGTCCTTACATTGCCCTTGGCCTGAAATGCCCTCCCCCCATCTCTTCCTGTCTTGCTCTGCCCTCAGGCTGGAATGGTCCTGCCAGTCCTGCTCCTTGGGGTCCCTGACCTGGGTCACAGCATGTACCCCCCCACCCCCTGCAATGGCCATTTTCGAGGGACAGCTCCCAGCTGACGGGCTGTGTCGTTCACCCTGTCTCCAAGCCTGAGCATGTTAATTCACACAGTAAATGTTCTTGAACTCCACTTGCAGCCAGGCCCTCCCATCCTGGATGCTGCTCACAGACAGACAGTCTGTCCCTAAGGAGGGAGGAGCCAGACAGTGAGCACTGAACAAACCTGTCCTTTCAGATTGCGACAGGTGCCAAGAAGCAGGTAGAACGCAATACCTGGGTGAACATGTTCACAAGAGAAACTGTAGTCTGCAGGTGGGACGTGTCCGGGATTGGGCAGGGGTCCCGGCAGCCTGGCCTCGGGCAGGGTTGCTCTCTGAAGTGGATGGGGTGCCACTTGTGTTCTCTAGATTCGGGGCCTGGAAGGTCCCTGGGGACATCAGGACACTCTAAACTCAAGATCAGTGCTGTGCAGGAAAGAGGAATAAGGGCTCCACCCAAAGTGCCCCACCCAAGGGTGGGCCTGACTCAAGGTGCCAGGCTACAGGCACCCCACCCTGGGCCTTCCCTTCCCTGCCCCCAGATAGCCGGAGGCTGGCATGTGCCCCCCCACCCCCCCGCGCCCTGGCTGCCTGCACCCCTCCGGCAAGCGCACATGCACGCAGCACCTGATCTGACCCGGCTGCCACGCCGCACTGGCTGTTGGTCTGAGACCACAGCACACACTGGACACAGGGCCTGCCGGATGCTGTTGTGCACAATGCCGATGTTGGCGGCAATATGGATGAGTGCTTGAAGGGGGTGCACGGGGCTGTGGAAGGGCGGAACTGGGGCTTAGAGGCTGTAAACCAGGTCCCACCCTGCCCACCCTCAGCCTCCAGTGGGAGACTTACACAGTAGAGGGTGAAGGCTGGACAGAGCACAGAGGGAAGGGGTGTGACATCTGCTTGGGGTTGGGAACTATCCCAGAGCTTGTGATTTCTGAGCTGGAAACTCCGTGGGATGGAGTAAGATTTCATCAGCTGGAGAAGGGAGGAGAGACCATCTCAGGCCGAAAGAGGCGGTGCAGGAGTGGGTGGGATATGTGCAGACAGGAATGTGCAGGGTATGCCAAGTGCCAGGGTGGGCATCGCGGGAGGTGGGACTGGCTCCTAAAAGGCTTGGCTAGACTAGAGGGGAGCCACATCCTTTCTGGGCTAAGCTCTGAACCCCAACACTTGGAGTCCCTGCCTCTGGCAGGCGTTGTAGAGAAGAGGGCAGAGCCCTGGCCTAGGGGTCAGAGGCTCTGCCAATATACCATGCCATCTCTCGTGGCCTCTGTTTCCTGCCCTATAAAATGGGAATGATAGCCCTGGTTGGTGTGGCTCAGTGGATTGAGTGCCGGCCTGTGAACCCAAGGGTTGCCGGTTCAATTCCCAGTCAGGACACATGCCTGGGTTATGTGAGAGGCAACCGATATATATATATATATATATATATATATATATATATATATATATATCTCACACAATGATGATTCTCTCCCTCTTTCTATCTCCTTCCTTTCCCCTGTCTCTAAAGATAAATAAATAAAATCTTAAAGAAATAATATAAAATGGGAATGAATAATAATAATGCTAGCTACCCATTCAGTCTTCTAAATGTGTTGCAAATAGTGTTGCACCAAATCCTCACAATAGCTCTTAGAGGTAGTTTTGTTATTATCCTCATTTCAGATGAGAGAACAGGACCAAGGTTAAGTGCCTTGCCCCTGCTTACATGCACCTCTAGTAAGCAGCAGAGGTGGACTTTGCAGCCCGACACTCTGACTGCCGAGTCCACGTCCTTCACCATGTTCCTAGCCGTGGCCATCCCACCTATCTCAGGGCTGCCTGTTCGCTGAGCACATACTTGCGGAGCACCTGCAATGTGCCACACACTGTGTTGGGCATTGAGGACACAGCAGGGAACAAGACAGACAGGTCCTTGTCACTGTGAAAGTGGCATTCTGATGGAAGAGACATACAATGGACAAGCAGACGCAAAGTGAGGTCATTTCAGACCATGTGCATGTTATTGGGTAAATAAAACTGTCGCAGAGATGGACTTTAGTGACAGGAACACAAGGAACTCACTGTATGCCAAGCAGTGTTAGAAGTTCTTGACATTTCTAAAACTCATTTCACTCTGATATCAACCCTCAGGAGTGGGTACTCTTATTTAGCCCATTTTATGATGAGGATAGTGAAGCACAGAGAGGCTGAGTGACTTGTCTGGGGTCACACAGGGAGAAGGGTTGCTGGCAGAGGGCATAGCAGGAACAAAGGAGACAGTGGGTGTGAGGTTGTTCGAGATGTGCAGGGGTTCCCCGATCCTGGGGCGACAGAGACGGGGGCGGGGGCGGGTGGATGCCCCAGGTGCACGGCTCTGTGTTTGTGTGCTAGGAGGCGAATGGCCCTGCTGACGGCTACGCTGCCATCGCCCAGGCCGACAGGCTGACGCAGGAGCCCGAGAGCATCCGCAAGTGGAGAGAGGAGCAGAGGAAACGGTTGCAAGAGCTGGGTGAGGGCAGGGCTGAGGCCGGGTTGGCTGTCTGGGGAGTGGGGAGGGGTGGGGATACCAGGGCACCTGTCTCCCTGTGAGTGTGGGAACTGTGTCAGGGTGGGCTCTGGGAGCTGGGTGTGTGTGTGAAGGAGCACCAGGGTGGCTATGCCCTTCGTGTCTACTGGAAAGATGCCACTCATTCTCCTGTCGGGGTTGCAGATGCTGCCTCCAAGGTGACAGAACAAGAGTGGCGGGAGAAGGCCAAAAAGGACCTGGAGGAGTGGAACCAGCGCCAGAGTGAACAAGTCGAAAAGAACAAGATCAACAACCGGTGAGAGATGCTACGGGGACAGGAGAGGGGCTACGGGGACAGGAGGGTGCCACTGGACAGGGAAAGCAGCTGTGGTATTGGGGGACTCTCTTGAGATGGGTGGTTTGGTGGCAAGACCACGGAGGAAGGAGACGCTGAAATGCCCAGGAGTGCTGCCCCGGGGGCCTGTGGGGTGGAGCACTGAGCTCTGCAGAGCAGGTCATGGTTGCACTCTCACCTCATCACCGCAACAGAGAGAAGTGAGCTCTGCAGTCAGCAGAAGGGGTCCTAGGTCCCTGGGATGTGAGCCAGACTGTGCTAGGGACTGCCCACTGGGCCTGGGCCCACAGGCCTCTGTCCGTGTCACAGAGAGCGTAGGCGTGTCTGGGAGCAAGGACGCACTCTGGGGACGGGTTTGGTTGCTTGCAGCGCTTCCGCCCAGAGTGGCAGGGGAGGGCGCAGTGGGCCCAGGGCCTGGTACAAAGTCAGCTGGCACCCATTTCTGCTGTCTCTCAGCCCCCCTTTCCTCTGTGGGGCCTGCACTGTTGCACCCATGCCCCTGGGATGAGGGCAGAGGGGCCCCAGCAGCTCCAGGCTTTGGCTCTATTCACTTGGCAATCTCAGTGAAAATAAAAGAGCTTCTTGCCCCAATAGCTCCAGCATAAGTCCTTGACCTGACCCTCACTGGTGGGCATGGGTCAGGCCCAGTGACTGTCCCAGGGGCAGGGACCCCTGATGAACCCAGCTTGGGCAGTAGCACACCTTGGGGTGTGCACTGGGTCAGTCCTACCCAAACCACAGGGACTGAAGTGAGGGCAACCTGACAATCAGGGTGCCCTTCCTGGAAGAAGGGGGATGCATGCTGAGCAGGCAAAAACAGCAGATGCCACCTTTGTGGAAATGATCTCAGAGCATTTCTGAGATGCTGCTCAGCAGCCCAGCCTTTGAGGCTGTGCCCTCCAAGGTACCAGGCCTGCCAGGAAGGGGAGGCCAGCTCCGGGAAGCCACTGCACTTGTGTTCAGAAGCTGCTGCATGCCACGCTCTGGGCTGGGGACTGGGAAGACAGATGAGAAGGACCCAGCCTGTATCTTAGGAGCTCAAAGGAGAGAAACCCAGGTGGTGCTGAGCTCCACAGCGCTGGGCTCCACAGCAGGGCCTCCATGGACGGGCTGTGGAAGCAGGGATGCTGGTGGAGAGGCGCCTCAGTGTCCGGGGAACTGGGCTTTGGAGGACGGTTAGGAGTCCATCAGGAAAAAGAGGGCAGGAGTAGGGGCTGGAAACCTAGACCAGGGACAGAATGACATGAAAGAGAGGACCTTGCGTCTTGGGCAGCAGAGAGTCAGGGGGTGGTGGGGGAGACACCCGTGCTGCGCAGGCATGGGCGGCAGGGGCCGCGGAAGGTTTGTGAACAGGAGTGATGTGATCCTGGCTCTGTCTTAGCAAAGGCACGGGGCAGGGCAGTGTGGGGCTGGCGGGGGGGTGGGGGGGGGGTGTCCCTGCTCTCCTCTGGCTGTGGAGAGTTGCTGAGCCTTCCAGAACTGTGCTTCCTAACGCCTCTCGAACTGGAGATACTAACGCTGTCTTTCTTTCTCTTTAACCTTCTGCCTGTCTGTCTGTGATGCCATCCCGTCTCCCCCGACCCGCCCACCTAACCCCTTTCCCTTAAGGATCGCTGACAAAGCATTCTACCAGCAGCCAGATGCTGACGTCATCGGCTACGTGTACGTGTGTCTCCATGGCTCCCCTGGCTGGGGGAACTGGAGTGGGCGAGGTCCCTGTCTGGCTGCAGTTTCTTTCTTTTCTTTTTTAGATTTTATTTATTTATGTTTAGAGAAAGGGGAAGGGAGGGAGAGGGAGAGAAACATTGATATGCTAGGGAAACATCGATAGGTTGCCTCTCATATGCCCCCAACTGGGGACCTGGCCCACAACCCAGGATGTGCCCTTACCGGGAATTGAACCGGTGACATTTCGGGTTAGCCAGATGATGCCGAAGCCACCTAGCTGCAGCATTCAGGGCAAGACAGTTTCTTGAGTTTCCTGCTTATGGGGTGTAAGAGTGACTGGGAGGGGGACACAGGGGGCAGGGGCGGGGACGGAATGACCAGAGCAGGAGGTGAATACCCAGGTAAGTGCAGCCCCTCCACCCCTCCGGCAAATGCTTATTGAGGTCTCCTCTTCTTGGAGGCACCGTTGCTAAATCCAGGCAGAGAGAAGAAAAGAATGCACCAGCCATGCCTGGGTGGGAGGAGTGAATGGCAAAGCACCTCAACTCCTTCCGAAAGAGATGTCTCTTGAGGGTGGCAGGTGGGGTGAAGAGGGCTTCTGTTGAGCAAAGCAGACAGAGTGCTGGTTGCTGGAGATTCAGAGAGAGCTGGGAGCACCCCAACCTCTTCTGTGCCCCCAGGTGCACTGCTCCCCCTTGGAGCCCCATCCAGAGTTCGGCCACCACCCCTGCCCCACCACCACAGGGCCCTCACTGTGTTCCTGCCTTGGGCTCTCACTGGTACTGACTAGTCTAGACAGATGGCAGAGGTTCCTTCTCATGTTACCACCATTGGTTGACAGCGGCACCTAGCGGTGTGTTGGGGATTGTGAAGCTGAAGGGAAAACGCGGGGATGCGTGTGTGTGTGTGTGTGTGTGTGTGTGTGTGGTCAGCCAAGGACTGGCAGTTTCTTGCACTGGGCCCACTGTGGGCAGGGCTGTGACGTTGTCGGGCTAACCCTCCTCTTTCAGGGCCAAGGACATCCCCGAGTGAGAGCCCTTTGCGCCTACCTTTCATCCACTCTCTCGCTGCCCAGTCCTTGTGGGCACTTACTTACTTAGCCAGTGCCAGTCTGGTCGGACAGAAAGAGGGGCTGGCATGGTCCATTCCCCTGAGCTGCTTATGGCCAGGAGTGAGTGGTAATAAGAACTGTGGGGAAGGACACACGAGGCTCTGGAAGCCACCTTCTGTGTGGAAGCCAGGGCAGGCCTCAGAGATGTGGGACATTCAGCTGGACTTTAAAGTGGATGGAGAACAACTGGTAGGCAAGGGGACTAGAGGGGACGGGCCCCTAGGTGGAAGCAGCAGGGGGGACAAAGGTGATGTGATAGGTGACACCTAGTGGCCTGTGGCTGCAGGCTGTGGGGACAGGCTGGCTGCAAAACCGCCTGTCAAGACAGGCCAAGTAGCTGACCCTGAAGGCAGCAGGGAGCCACAAGGTTTCAAGCAAGAAAGTGGGGATGGCAGAGGAGCATTGGGGCTACAGGGGGTGGTCAGTGCTCCTGTTGTGCCCCAGGAAATGGCCCAAGAAGCACGCAAGAGAGTCTTGAAGAGGGAGAGCACAGACCAGCATGTCCCAGACTTTCCTGTGCTTGGGAATCACCAGAGGAGCTTTTCAAAATGAGGGTTCTGATGCAGTAGGACTGAGCTGAGGCCAGGATTCTGGGTTGCCAGCAAGATCCCTGGTGGTGCAGATGTGGCAGGGCCACCCACCGCACATTGAGCTGCAAGGTTAGCAGGAGCCTCTTGACCCAGGACAGCTAGGAAAGCCTCCTTCAGCCCCTGCACGTCCCACTCTGCACAGCAGCCCCCCTCTTCCCGAGCTTGCACACACCCACCACCCCCTTAGGTTCTCAGACCACTCCAAGGTGGACACTCTGATCCTCACTCGACAGGTGGTAATGAGCAAGATCACTGTGGAGGGGCCAGGTCACCGGTAACGGGCCAGAGGTCACATGGGCCACCCACCACTGCCTGGTCATGCCTGAGATGCAGAGTGGGCTGCCACGGATGGACGGGATTTCCAGGGACCCTTGATGGGCAAACAAGACACAGCCCCAGCACTCCCCACCTAAGAATCCTTTATTGTCTTTCTCTTAGTAACAGCCACTTTTATGTTTTGCCTATGAAATTGTATTTACAATACTATCTTTCTACTGTTCCTTCATTTGTGGCTTCTATACCTGTCAGCTGGAACTTCTAATGAAGAAGTTATCAGCTGTCAGTAATTTAATTCCAACCAAAAGCAAAGGCTTAAATGAATGGAGCAGTCCCCATGCCTCGGCTCCATAGATGGGCTGTTCTGGGGTAAAAAGTGCTCCGCCAGCAGCCATGCTTGGGATGGATGGACTCTCTCTCTGCATCACCACTCCACCCATGCACACTAGCGTGGGGAAGGCTCTGAAAGTCAGGCTTTGGGGATCCTGTTTAACTGAGCTTTCTATGAGTGTTTGACCACAACCCTCTCCTGGAGAATACTTAGAGGGTGAGAGGACAATGAGCAATGCCGAACTAGGTACTTCAGTTTGTTTGCGGTCAATCAGTGTCCTGTCCCTGCCACGTTAATGGAAACATTGAAAACGGCCAAGACACCACTTCAGTTCCTGCATGGACGATTAGATGCCAGGAGCTCCGGGTCAGGAAGTTCATGATGGGGAGGCAATAACCTGAGAGTGCTTAGGCTGTGGCAGGGGTGGGGGACAAGAGGGCACTTTAACTGGGGTGGTAAGGGAAGACCTCTCTAAGGAGGAGAGGCCTGCACTCGGCCCTGAATGAGAAGCAAGCAGCCATGAGAAGTCGGTCTGGGGGAACAGCATTCCCACAAAAGGTGACAAGTGCAGAGGCCCTGAGGCAGGACCAACCTAGGATTCACCTGATGTCAAGGCTGCTCCTGGGGCCGGAGGTCAGAGGGCACAGGACTGGGGAGACCTCCACACAAAGTAGCCCAGAGTAGGTGGGGCAAAGCAGCCTCGCTCAGCAGGGGCAGAGCATCACTGATGCAGGGCAATGGCAGTCGGCTCTGAGGCTCTGAGACCTGTGTCCCATCTCCTCCCACAGGGCATCTGAGGAGGCTTTCGTGAAGGAATCCAAGGAGGACAGCCCAGGCACAGAGTGGGAGAAGGTGGCCCAGCTGTGTGACTTCAACCCCAAGAGCAGCAAGCAGTGCAAAGATGTGTCCCGCCTGCGTTCCGTGCTCATGTCCCTGAAGCAGACGCCGCTGTCCCGCTAGGGGCCTGCCACCAGCACGGCCACAGAGCTTGGGCAGGCCCAGGGCAGAGGAGGAGCAGCTGCTTCTGGCAGAGGGGGGAGAAGCCTCCAGCAGCTGCTGCACAGCCCACTCCCTCTCTCCCCATGGCCCCGGGCTGGGCAGGGAACACACTCGTCCTCTCACCCTCATTCCCTCCTGGCCCTGTGGCCCAGCCCCTCACACCACCTCTCAGTCCACAGAGTTGTGACTGTCCCTCCCGATGTATTATTTTCTTGGCTTAAAGGGTGTGTTGTTAACTCTTTTTACACTTATTTATTACCATTCTCATTTCTCTGGAAGCCACAAATGGTGTCAGGGCTCAGTTTGTGCTTAGAGCTTCCTGAGCCTCATGGCCTTGAGAGAAGATGAGGCTCTTCCCTTGGAAACCCAGGAGCTCCCAGCTGGAAGTGGGGTCCCCAGTTGCCTGGGTCTGCTGCCTCCACCCCTAGGAGGAAAGAACCCACCCCTCTCATGGAATGCTGTTGCCACCTTGACCTCTCCTGATCTTTGAAGCAGCTTGTGAGATGGGGATCCTGGTGTTCCCATCACGCAGGTGAAAGCACAAGGCTCCCAGAAGGTCAGGGGCTTGAAGTGTGGGGGGCAGAGGCCAGAGTGGCCCCGTGGAGGCTCGTCTCAGCCTGGCAGAGAGGCCAGTGAAGGGCCCAGGGCTCTCCTCCTTCAGCTGCACCCTCCTGAGGGTTTGGGAGAAAGATCCAAAGGTGCCCACACCTTCTTGCCCTGCAGCAGAGATTGCAGATGTGGCTTCTTTCAAAATACTGTGACCTGCACAGTGACTAAAAAGACTAGAGTCACTGCCAGCGGATTTAGTTCCCAGAACTGCTGTGACAATGTCTGGCACGTGTGGCATGTGGCTTAGAGCAAGAGTGCCCTTTTCTCCTGGAGGTGGGAAGTCCAGGTGTCAGCAGGGCCATGTCCCTTGGAAGGCCCCAGGGGAGGGTCGTTTCGGCTTCCTCTGTCTCCCGACTCTGAGGTCCTTGGCTGTAGGTGCATCACTACAATCCTGAGTTCGCCTTCGCATGGCCTGTCCTCTATGTGCATCTGTGTCTTTGTCCAGATTCCCCCTCTTTTATCAGGAAAACTAGTCATGTTGGGTTGGGGCCACCTTAACCTCATTTTCACTGGATTACCTCTGTAAAAACCCTATTTCCAAATAAGGTCAGATCTTAGGTACTGGGGTTAGGATTTAAGTGTATCTTTTCTGAGGGATGACACAATGTCTACAGTTTAAAAAAAGTGACCATACCCCTTAGAAGTGCCCTAGTCTTCACCAATCCATATCAATTTCTTGAATCGTTTTAAAAATTTTATAAAATATTTTATTTATTTATTTCCAGAGAGGGGAAGGGAGAAAAAGAGGGAAAGAAACATCAATGTGTGGTTGCCTCACACCCCCCCTACTGGGGACCTGGCCTGCAACCCAGGTACATGCCCTGACTGGGAATTGAACCGGTGACCCTTTGGTTTGCAGTCTGGTGCTCAATCCACTGAGCCACACCAGCCAGGGCCCATTTCTTGAATCTTGAGGCCAAAAGACTCCACAGTGCACTGCTCTGCACACATTACTTTTGCCTTAAGCTGAGAGATCACAGGGGGGGCAGGCAATGTAGCTGACCCCAGTCATGCACTCTTCAAATCTAGACTGTGTTAGGGTGATCCAGAAGTGGGTGTGTCTTCTTTACCCCCTTTTTCCCATTCTGGCCACATGCAGCCCGTGTTGGAATTAATGGAGCCGCACATGAAAGGAACTAGGTCCAAATCGGCACTTCCGAGCTGACAGCAACCCCAGACCAGGAACACCTGTTTGACAGTGCACATGAATGCAAAAGTGACAGGTGGCCTGTCTTGCAGAGTTTGCTCAGGTCCCCAGCCTCCTTTCTTCTTTTACCTCCAGGCACCAGGCACACAAACCACTGACAGGCTCCGGAACGGTGCCCTGTCCACTCCACCAGACTGATGTCTGAGCCCATTCCCCGTTCTGTTAAATGCAGCAACAAGCACAGCAGGATGGTCTAGATTCGTGGGGTCTTAGGTGCTCTCAGGAGGTGGGAGGGGTGTGAGGAGCCGAAGCACAGGGGAGGACCCAACCCTTGCCTCTGTCAGGACCAGGGCAGGCCTAGTCTTAAGGAAGGCTTGTCTACTGCAAGTTTGGAAATTATTGGAAAGATCCTCTTCCCTCTCCCAAACAGTATCATCCTAGGGAATCTCTGCTCTTTATGAGTGCCCTTGCTGCAGGAAAGTTTGGGCATCAGTAGGTCATATCATTTCTAGGGGTCTGTGCAGTGTTTAGTGCGTTTACACCTAAAACCAAAGACCAGACACCTTGTGAGTGAGACTGAGCATGAACTGATAAAATTGCAAGTGGATCCGAGTTTATTAAGTAGGGAGTGGAGAAGGTGCGGCAGAAATAGTAGTGTGCAACACCCAAACGGAAGAGAACCTGATTCCTGGCGGGGTGGTGGGGGAATCATATATTCAATTGGCCACTTCCTCCCCCATTGACACAAGGGCTTGTCAGGAAACAAGTCCGGTGGAAGGACTGGTGGTTGGTCCTGGGCCTGGGAATGAACTCCAAGGAGCTTTCAAGGCCAGGCCGCGGGTTCAGGGTCGAGATTTAAGAGCGGATGCAGCCAAACCCACCAAGATGGCTGCGATCGTGAAGCCCTGGGCGGCGATCCGGGTGCGCATCATGAGCTGGGAGCGATGGCTCTGACCCCGGTGGAAGCAGTAGAGGCCATAGGCGAGTGCGGTCACCGTGCCCAGGCAGCCTGAGGAGGGATACAAAGCAAGCGCGGAGTGGCAGGTCCATCCCCAGAGCCCCCTCCCCACTTTGGGCTTTCTTTCTCATGGGTCGAGATCTCAGTACAGGAGCAGGTGTCGTTAGGTTGCATGTGCGTGGAGCTGGAGGAAAAGGTAGGAGGAGTTGATCCCCCAGGGCTCTGGGAGTTACAGAGTCCGCCCCATCCCACTCCTGCTCCAATCAGGTTCACCTCTCACCGCCCGGCCCCTTCGCCACAAGTCTGGTCCGATCTCATTCCGGACCCACCCGGCTCCCCAGTCCTTTCCTATTTTGCTTCCCCCCCGAAAGCACTGTCCTCTCCATCTAAAGTTCCTTCAGAACCTGCTTACCTATGGGTACCATGGGATTCTCGCGAGTCTTGCGAAAGAACTTTTCCTTGAAGCTTTCCTGATTGCTGTAGACACTGGGGCTAAAGCCCTCAATGACCGGGGGCTGCGATGGTTCAAAAGGTACTTTTGGAGTCACAGGGCCAGGAGTCGCCATGTCTGGGTCAACAGGGAGCCGGAGAAAATGGGTATCGTAAACTCCGCCTCCTGCTGAAGTCATGAAAGGGGGCAGGAAAATATGCTGAGCTTTGTACGCAGGCGCAGACGCCCACGGCATTCTGGGAGTCATAGTGCTCAGCATTGTGTCGGTAGGGGATGGACTACAGTTCCCAAAATGCCCGACAACCATACGCGTCCCGAGGGTGGAGTCCGCCCCACCAGGTGCTGAAAGTGAAGATTGGAAGTACTGATTTGCTGGTGCGGTGGTCGGCGCGAAGCCCAAGGCCGGGGGGGAGGCCCAGAGGCAGAAATTCGCTTACGGTGTTAACCGGAAGCGTCTTAACCGGAAAGCGTGACTGAAGGCAGCGCCACGGATCGAGTGGTGAGGCAGCCGGGTTTCAGGAGGCAGGTGGTCTGGCCTGAACGGCCAGTGAATTGACAGTTCCACGGTCTCCCTCTTTTTGTCCGTAGATGTCACATCCGACATGCGTGGGACCACGGCAGACCTGTGTGGCAGAACCTGGCGGAGATGAAGTTGGCTGTGGATTCCAACAAGGCGTACCCCACTGTGAGAAAAAAGTACTGACTGGCCAGGGTCTCGGCTCTTGCCCTGCCCTTTGCCCCACCTCCCCCCGCGGTACTTAGTCCGGTTTCAGTACTTGATCCCGGTTCCAAGTTTCTCACACCATTCTTAGGTACGCGATTTCACACAGCCAACTCTGTCAGCCTCCACTGACTGGTTGAGGGTCCTTTTTATTTATCTATTTATTTACTTATAAATATTTTATTTATTTACTTTTAGAGAGAGTGGAAGGGAGGGAGAAAGAAAGGGAGAGAAACATCAATGTGCGGTTGCCCTGGTTGAGGGTCTTTTTTAGACTTCCCTCATACTTCCTCCTCAGCACAAATTGCACATTGGTTAAAGTCCACCTATCCACCATTTTTTTCCCCCTGAAATTAACCTGTTTGGGCCCCTTGTCATTTTAATGGTATTTTCCAGAATTTATCTTTATCTGTCCTTACCGTTCCTAATAAAAGACTCCCAAGCCCTGGCTGGCGTAGCTCAGTGGATTGAGCGCGGGCTGGGAACCAAAGTGTCCCAGGTTCAATTCCCAGCCAGGGTACATTCTTGGGTTGCAGGCCAGAACCCCCAGCAACCACACATTGATGTTTCTCTCTATCTCTCTATCTCTATCTCTATAGCTCCCTCCCTTCCCTCTCTAAAAATAAATAAATAAAATCTTTAAAAAAAAAAAGACTCCCCACAGTTTGGAATCTTAACTTATACCTCTCTCCAATCATCTAATCGTCCCTGGTCTTAACTTTTCTGGGGCTAGTTTCTCCAGAATGAGCCTTTTTCTGACAACACTTTCAAAAATAGCCTTTTCCTCCCAGTTAATTCTTCCCGGTTTTATTTGAATTTGTAAATTCAAATGCACTTGTAAATACTTGATGAATCTGTAAATTCAAAAGCACTTGTAAATACTTGATAGTATACTATATATTTATTTACCTGCTTATTGTCTGTGTCTCTTTTCCTGAACATAATCTCCTTGGGGATAAGGACTTCAGTTTTGTTCACTACTAAATCCCCAGTGGTGCTTAGGATGTAAGTAGTGCTTAATAAATAATCTTGTCCAGAAAACTCAGTTGTTTAGAGTGACAACACCATATGCTGTGGTTGCGGGTTCGATCCGTGGTCAGGGCACATACAAGAATCAACCAATGAATGCATCAACGAGTGGAACAACAAATCAGTGTTTCTCTCTCTCTCCCTCTCTCTAAAATCAATTAAGTAAATAAATGGTTAACCTACTAAGTGGGTTTGGTGATTGAACTTGTCCCATTGCCTTTAGGTGAGTTTCTTTTTATATTTCACGCTAGAGGGAAATGACAATACTGTTTCTAGAACAAATGTGAAGCTGTAGCCAAGCTCCATCAGGTTGTTCCTCCT